CCAAAGTGATTTTTCTTAAGCAAAGCTTTCACCATGTGAATCTCCAAGTCAGCCAAATCTAGGGGCTTCCTATCACCTTTAAAATAAAATATAAGCTCCTCTGTTTAGTTTTGAATTTCCTATGCAACCTAGTTCTAATCTACCATCCTCTTCGGATAAGATCCTCTCTTCTGTACCCAGCAACCTAGCCAAACTGACCTTTCTGTTCTTCACTTACTACATTCCATGTCCTGTCTCCATGCCTTTGCACTTATGGCCCTTCTTGCCTGGAATGAAATTCCTCCTTGTCTCTACCTCATGCAGTCCCTCTCTTCCTTTAAGATTCTGTTCAGCATGACTTAATGTGGAAATGTGTTTTGCATGTACAACCTATGTCAAATTGCATGCCTTCTCAATGAGGGAGAAGAGTAAGGAGGAAGAGAATTTGGAACTCAAAACCTGAAAAAAAAGAATGTTAAAATCATTTTTGCACGTTAATTGGGAAAAATAAAATATTAAATAAAAAAAAAAGATTCTGTCAGACACCATATTCAACATGAAGCTTTTCCTAATTTGTCAACCAGTTAGTGCCCTCCCTCTTTGCATTTAACTACTTTGTCTATACTGTCATATGCATGTTTATATATGTATTCTCTTTATAGTTATGCTTTATATATTTTTATATGTACTTGTTGTCTTCCTTAGTAGAGTATAAGCTCCTTATGAGTAGGGATTACTTCATTCTTTGTATTTGTACCCCCTAGTGCTTAGCACAGTATCTGACACATAGAAGGTACTTAATAAAAAATATTTGTTTATTGTTGAATGGGAATAGTATTCACTGAAATTTACATAATTACTTTTGTCTTTCTTCTACCCCCCTAGTGGAATGAAAAACTGAATGAAAAAACCATTTGTTAAGCACTTATGTTAATTCAAGTAGAAAATCAAGACAGTCTTTACACACGAGAAGCTCTTATTCTAATATGATGGGAAGTCAATACATATAGAAGGTTTCAACTATAAGTCAGATGGAAAGATTCAATCCCCCCTCCACCATTATTCATTTATTTTAGCATTCTTTTTAAATTTTGAGTTCCAGATTTTCTTCCTCCCTCCCTCCCACTCCTCTTCCACCCACCAAGAAGGCAGGGAATATGATATAAATTATACATGTGAAATCATGCAAAGCACATTTTCATAAAAAAGCAAGAAAAGTAAAGTGAAAAAATCCTACTTCAATTTGCATTGAGAGTTCATCAGTTGTCTCTTTGAAGGTAGATAGCAATTTTTTTCACCATGAGTCCTTTGGAATTGTCTCAGATCGTTGTATTGATCAGAGTAGCCAAGTCTTTCACAATTGATCATCATTACAACACTACTGTTACGGTGTACAATGACCTCCTGGATCTTCTCACTTCACTTTGCATCAGTTCATATAGGTCTTGCCAGGTTTTTTTTCTAAAATCACTCCCCTTATCATTTCTTATAGCACAATAGTACTCCATCACGGCAGGTAGGTGGCACAGTGAATAATGCACTAGGCCTGGAGTCAGGAAGACCTGAGTTCTAATCCAGCCTCAGACACTTACAAGCTGTCTGACCCTGGGCAAGTCACTTCACCCTGTTTGCCTCAGTTTCCTCATCTATAAAATGAGCTGGAGAAGGAAATGGCAAGCCACTTCAGTATCTTTGTCAAGATAACCCCAAATGGGGTCACGAAGAGTCAGATGTGACTGAAATGACTGAACAACAACTCCATCACAATCATGCTACAACTTGTTTAGCCATTCCCCAGTTGATAAACATCCCCTGAATTTCCAATTCTTTGCCACAAGACTCAATTGTTCTTAGCATATGATGGCAAAACAGATGATAATGCATCTTCCTTAATGTCATTTCCATTGGGAAAAACCCTCTATTTCTGATGTTGAGTCATTTGCAAGGGACTTTGGTGGCAAGAACTTTTTTTTCTGGGATCACAAAATCATAGGATTAGAGAGTTGGAAAGGACATTGACAGCCATTGAGCTTAATCTAATGTATATGGGTATTTCTCAAAGGTCTGTCCTTAGTTTTTGTTTTGTTTTGTTTTTTCTCATCTTTTCTATATTTTCTCCCTTGGCAGTCTCAAACATTTGAAGGACTTCAAATGCTACAATGATGACTCAGTCCAGACATCTCCAGACTTACGTCTCTCACTAACTATAGACTTCTGACCTGAATGTCTATTTTAATGATACCTCAAACTCGACATACCCCAAACTAAGCTTATTCTTTCCTCTAAAACTATTAGTCCTTTTGATTTCATAATATTTATAACTTCTAGAATGTTTTGAAGTCTTTTCTTTCATTAAAGGTTCATTTCCCCCTGCAGGATTATACTCAATTTTGCTAAGTAAAGTAGTTGTGGTTGTGTTTGCCTTCTGGAATATTTTATTCTAAGCTCCCTGCTCAATTAAAGTGGCTACTGATAAATCTTGAGCAATCCTCATTGTGGCTCCTTGGTTCTTGAATACTTTCTGGCTGCTTTTAGTATTTTTGCTTAACTAGGAGACTGGATTTTGACTATTCCTGGAAGTTTTTCATTTTGGAGTTTCAGGACATGACTGGTAGATTCTTTCTATTTCTATTTTGTTCTCTGGATCTAGGAGATATGGGCAGTTTTCTTTCATGAAAGCATAAAAGAAATGTCTTGGCTCTTTTTTTTTTTTTGCTTGTAGTTTTCAGATAGTCTAATGATTTTTAAATGATCTCTCTTCCATCTGTTTTCCAGGTCAATTTTTTTTTTTATGATATGCCTTACTTTTTCTTCTTCTTTTTTTTAGTCTTTTGCCTTTGTTTTAATATTTCTTGTTATCTCACTGAGTCATTTGTTTCAATTTGGCCTATTCTAATTTTCAAGGAACTTGTTGCTTAGGCAAGGCTTTGTGTGTTTTGCACTAAACTATTATTTCCCTTTCTAATTCTTTTTTGTTTGTTTGTTTGTTTGGTTGGTTTTGGTTTGTTTTTGTTTTTTTTTTTGGTGAGGCAGTTGGGGTTAAGTGACTTGCCCAGAGTCACACAGCTAGTAAGTGTTATGTGTCTGAGGCCGGATTTGAACTCAGTTTGTCCTGACTCCAAGTCTGGTGCTCTATCCACTGTGCCACCTAGTTGTCCACTCCCTTTCTAATTCTTAACTCCATAGTTTTAATTTCTTTTCCATTTTTTCCATTTATAATTTTTTAAAAAAATTCTCGTTTCATCTCTTCCAAGATTTCTATTTGAATATTGTGTCCAAGTTGTATTTTTCCTTCAGATTTCTCTTGTAGATGACTTGAAGTCATTCTCTTCTTCTGAGTTTATGTCTTGAGAGTCCCCTGTCACCATAAATGGCTATTTGGGGTAGCCTTTTTATTTCTTTTGCTCATTCGTCCCAGTCTACTTCCTGACTTTAAACTTTATTTTATGACCAGGCTCTGCACACTTTTGGAGGAAATGTCTGGGCTGTTGCTGCTGTTGTCTTGGAGTATTGAGTATTGTGTTATACCAGGATCTCAGGCACAGCTCAGGCTTGGGACCTAAAAGCTTTCAGGGGTCTGATCCAAGATAAAATCAGATCATTGCTCTCTTAATTTGAGCTCTGCAAGTTCCTGATCTATGTTTGAATCTAAGCAGCATGCTTGTGGGATTGTCCCATTTGGAGTTCCAGTAGATGGCTACTAGACTCAGTCATTATCACTAGTTTCTTTTAAAATTTAGCTCAAGTATTACCTGCATAAAGCCCTTCCTGACCTTCTCTTTACCTCCAGCTGCTAGTGTTCTCCCTCCAAAAATAACTTAGCATTCATTTTGTATCTATTCTGTATATATTTCTGTATGTACATGATGTCTCCCTTATTAAAATACAAGCTCTTGGAGAGCAGGGACTGTTTCATTTTTGTCTGTGTATCCTTAGAGCTTAGCTGAGTAGCTGGTACATAGCAGATGCATAATAAATGCTTATTGATTGACTAATTAATTGTATGAAGTTATGTGGTCCACATCTATGAGCTGGCACAGCACCATCAAAAAGCCAAATAGTTCCTCAACTTTTCATTGTGTTTTGGGCAGGTTCTTCATCTCAAAAGAAAATCAAATGGATGAAACAACAAAATGTATTTCCAAACTCTATGGTTTGAAGGGGCAGCTAGGTGGTACAATGGATAGAGCACCGGCCCTGGATTCAGGAGGACCTGAGTTCAAATCCGGCCTCAGACACATAACACTTACTAGCTGTGTGACTGGTAAGTCACTTAACCCCATTGCCTAAACAAAAAAAACAAACAAACAAACAAATAAACTCTATGGTTTGGGGGAACAGGATTTCTGATTCTACTTTTTTGGTTGCTGAGGCAGTTTTCCAGATCTAGGCATTGAGAACATCTGGTTGTATTTAATGATGTATAAATTCAGGATTCTTTTTTTTTTAAATAAAAAGTAAAAATCTGACTTGAGTAATTTTCTATCATTTTAGGAAGCAGTTACCACATCAACTAATAAAGCTAAAATCTGAATTCTAACTCTTTTCAATACCTTCCTAAATGACTTCTGCTAAGTGGCTATCAGTAGAAAGAAAGTCAAGAAAACAAACAGTCATCATATAAAATACAACATCAATAAACTAGAACAAGTTCTCAAGAATTACACTTGATATTTGCTAGCTCCCACATGCTCCAGTCTCTCTGTAAGCAGACTCCCTCAGGCCTGAATAAGTTTCATTGATCATTAACTTCCTCTGGCAGTAAACTTGACCTTTTTTCCATAGTTCATTCTCACAGTAATTGGAAATTCTATAAATTCGTTCTACTCATGGCGGACAGAAGTAGGTTAACTGAAGAAGTATCCACAGCTGATATGTGAATGAATGACCCTATTCCTTATTTTTGGTTAGGAAGATATTTAGCTAATAATAAATTTTTAAAAATTATTTTTCAAGTATCACAATTTATATACATTTTATTGTTGGCATTGTTTTATCATCATAAATATTTTTAAAATTACCTCTAATTTCTTAGCACATAGTCCACTAACAAGGGAAACCACACCACTGTCAGTTACCTAGACAGATTGAAAGAGAATTATATTATAAATGGAGAAAACAGAAATATGAGTGATATCTTTTCTTTAAAAAGACAGGAAGGGAAAAGGGAACAAACATTTATATAGCACCTACTATATGCCAGAAACTACATTAAGTACTTTATAAATATCTCATTTGATCACACAACAACTCTGATAGGTAGCTGCTGTTATTATCCCCATTTTACAGTTGAAGAAACTGAGGCAAACAGGTTAAATGACTTGGCCAGAACACAGCTAGTAAGAGTCTGAGGTCATGTTTGAACTCATTCAGTATGATCTGTAGGCCCAGTGCTCTATCTACTGTCTCACTTAGCTGTCTGGAAATCATTTAGGAAAGTTTTACTTCACTGTACTGAGAAAACATATCATTTGCATACATCCTCTTTGTTTAAATTTATTTTAGAGGTTAAACTATGAACACATTTACTTTTAAAGCTTAAAACTAGAGAAAAATTAGAAATGAAAGAATGATTTATAAATCTTATAAATTGAGACAAATGTCTAGGTATAAAATATATCCACATAAAATAAACAATGTAGTTATTATTAAACCAATATCATAATTTACCTGAGTAGCAGAAAAGTCAATACTCTGTAAAAATGGACAGTTCTCTCCAAGGGCTTGTAGAGACACATCAGTAATACCTGAGCAGCCACCTAAGTCAACTATCTTCAGTAACCGACAATTGAGGGCAAGGGCAAGGACACCTTCATCTGTGAGATTACTGCATCTTTTCAAAGAGGCTTCATAAAGGAATGAGCAAGATGATGCAACAGCTTTTATTCCTAAAGGAAAAAAGTATATAAGATGTGACTATAAAATGATATGACTGATTTTTAAAAACTCAAACACTAGATTTTAGATATCCAAATAAATGTCCCTTTCAATAAAGTTACCTTAAGAGGTTATCCATTTATTCCAAGGATGATGCCACAACTAAGAACGTTTTTTTTTAAAAAAAAACTTTCTTTGGGGATTGTTTGCAGAGACTGAAGCATTCTTTTAAATATCACAAATGAGGTGACAAATTTTCATTTTTTAAAAGAGTGAATATGATTTTTTGAATAGCCAAAACTTATTTGGAGTTAAGTTTGGTGACTAAGATGGTTGATAATAGTGGGTGACATTTTCTGGTTAAAAAAAAAATTAAGAGTCAGTGGATTGATTTACTTTGAAGGTTATTCTAAGAAGGTTACTTTAAAAGTTTGGTTTTTTTCAGCAATTCTTTTCTAGCACTGGAATAAATATACAGCCTTCCAAGTTGACAAGTGTGAATGGGACACAGTAAATTAGATACTAAAATTCTGATAAGTTTCTTTAAAAAAAACAAACACCTTATTTTAGTACTTTACAATCACATTCTTATAACAGAAAACAATTTAGTTCAATTCAAGCATTTATCAAGGGCCTATTGTGTGAGGCACTATACTAGGTGCTGGCAAAACAGTATTGTTTTGTTAAGAAATGAGGAAATAAATAATTTCATAAAGACACGGAAAGACATATAAACTGATGCAGAGTGAAGTAAGCAGAACCAGAAGAACAATTCATACTATAATATCAGTATTATAAAAATAAACAATTCTGAGGACTTTTAGAAACTGGTGAAGAATGAGTGGAACCTGGAGAATTATTTAGACTGTAATAACACTAAAAAAAAAAACCAGCTTTGAAAACTGTATAATCAATACAATGACCATTCATGATTTCAGAGGGCCAATGATGACACGTTATCCATTACAGAGAAGTGACAGATTTTAGGTGGAGAATGAGACATGTATTTTTGCATATAATCCCTGGATTTGTTTTCCTTGACTATGCATATTTGTTACAAGAAATTTATTTTTCTTTTTGCCCAACGGAGTAGGGAATGGGAAGGAGAGAACAGATGTCTATTAAAAATTTTTTTAAACTGAGAGTGGGGAGAGAGCTACAGATGTGAAATATTGTATGTAATTTCAGATGCTGTCCTGCAGGGGTAGCTGGAGACAGCCCAAACTGGGAACTGATTGTTAAATTTTCCGTGTGAGTATCTATACTTTGGAAATAATTAAATGATAAAAATCAGGATTTAATTTATTGTTTTGTTGACTGTTCAGACTTAAATGGTGGAGAAAATGTTAATAATGTAGGTTAAACTTTAAAAAAAGGTTAAAAAAAAAAGAAAGAACAATTGTGGTCTAGAGAGCCAGTTGTTAAGCATTTACCCACTGTATTATTAGTTTTCCTTAACCTATTTTACAAGAGAACTCTTACAGCTTGGGAGTAATTTGTAAATGTTTGCAATATAAAAGCAAAATGTAACAATAAAACTTAAAAAAAAATAAAGTATATTTCAAATTTAATATATTAATTCCAACATTGCTCTATTTTGCACAGTGCAAAGAGTTCTGGCTCTAGAGTTTAAAAAAAAACCTGAGTTTAAATTCTGTTGTTGACATTTACCACCTACACATGATTTTGAATAAACCATTTAACCTCTTTGGCCTTTGGTTTCTTCATCTGTAAAGTGGGGATGGAAGGTTGGATTAGATGGCTTCTGAGGTATCTTCTGATGGGGTGCTTGTACTGGAACCCTAATTCCAAGATCATATTTCTCCTTAGCCTCAGAAACACTATCCCTGGCAGTTTCCCCCCAGCCCAAGGACACTATGCCTGGTAGTTACTCATGAATGGGCCTCAGCAACACACTTCTCTTGCAACACACTTCTCTCTCTCCCTGGTGCAGTTACAAACTACACCTGAAGGAATTATTAGTTTGAACTGTCTTTGCACTGGTCATAAAGATATTCATACCCACTGGACCATCTATATTAACTCCCTACCTCATTATCTATCCTGGACTCCTCATTATGTGTATTCTAGACTTACGACTGTGTATATAGACATAAGACATCTATCTTGTCAAACAAGACATTGACTGGTGGCAGACTGGGCAACCCTCAGTTGGCCCTGACCACCAGTTAACTTAGTGACATAGCAGACCTAAAAAACCACATCTCCATGTAGCCACCCTTTGGGCTTCTCCTGGTGAACTCTGGGTAAAACACCTGCACAGTAGATACAAAAAGTACATGTTCCTTTAAGAACTGACCACTCCTTAACTACTCCCTAATACCACACCCTGATGCACCTAGTTAGCATATTTGGCACAGGTTTTACTACAGTTTATCCTTTATAAACTTTAACTGAACCCCTCTAAGGCTGCAGGTTCCTTAAGAATCCTTGCTTGCTATATAGTGTAACAATAAATCTTTGCCAGCTTGACTCAAAGAATGCTTGAGTCTGTGAATTCATTCCAGACAACCCCATCCTGTACTCCAGTCTTTGAGGGATCTCAACCTCTCAGATGGCAACACTTCCAGCCAGAGATCTATGATCTTATGAGTGTCACTTTATTATAAAAATCCTTAATGATAATTATAATTGTCATAGGATATTCAAAACTTAACTTTGACCACATTTAAGTCTCCGAAAAACAAAGACCTATTTAAATTCAAAGTCATTTATTAAAAAGGTCAGTACCATTGTATTCATACTATTTATTTACTTTTTCTGACCTTTCCAACCCCACAATCTCCCTTGCATCCGTTGCCATACTCAATTTTGGGCCCCACATTCTCTCTAATTTTCCCTCTGTCCTATCATTTCTCTCTGATCCAATTCTAAATGTTGAGTAATTCTTTTTTTTTTAATTTCTTTTTCTTTTGGTGAGGCAATTGGGGTTAAGTGACTTGCCCAGGGTCACACAGCTAATGAGTATCATATGTCTGAGGCCTCATTTGAACTTAGGTCCTCCTGATTCCAAGGCTGGTGCTCTATCTACTATGCCACCTAGCTGCTCCTTGGGTAATTCTTTAACCACCATATTCCACCTCTCTCTCCATGGGTGCTATTCTTCCTCTGGATTGGAATGGCCCCAGATTTTTTGGCAGAGTCATTTATGTGCCATTAAGGTGAGCAATACGAAAAGAACAGGTCTTGGAGTCTGGTTGGTCTAAGGATCTGAATATACATGGTGGCACTGGTATATTATTAAGTCATCATCTGACCTCCACAGGAAAAAGAATATATTTAGTAGGCCTGAGCATGTGGGCCATGGACAAACACTTTTAAAGGTATGTCACAAAATTGACCATAAAAAGAGAATGAAATTTTTAGCAGTGAACAATTTTTCTTGCTTTTATATCTTTGCTTATTTTATTATCTGGATCCAGAAAGACCATAAATATGCATGAATAATCCATGGAAAAACATGGAGCTATCCATAAATAGACAGTTTTACTTCTTAGTGCCTTTAAAATGTAAAGTCGTAGGTCAGAATCACAGAATCTCAGAATTGGAAAGGACTTCTGGAGTCATGTATCCTACCTGTAGCTAATTTATTTTATAACATAACCAGTCAGAGATCATATAGCCTTTGCTTAAAAGTTAGGTGAATGTACCCACTCCCTCCTAAGGCAGCCCATTTTTTGAGAGCTCTAATTGTTTTCCTTACATAAAACCTAAATCTTCCTCTCTGCAACTACTACCTACTACTTTTAATTCAGCCCTCTGCATTCACAGGAAAAAATCTAACCATTTTGGAGATAAATATCGTATCCTCACAAGTCTTCTCTTCCTTGGTTCCTCCTTTTCAAAAATTCTGATTATGTACTCTAGACCCATGATTATTTTTATTAATAAATTTAATTTCTTTCTTCATCATCTTCAGTTTTACTCTAGACCAGGGACTCTTAATCTGGGGTCCATGAACTTATTTTTTTAAACTTGATAACTATTTTAATACAACTAGTTTCCTTTGTAATCCTATGCATTTTATTTTATGTATTTGTCCATGACAAAAAAAAAGTTAACTGCTTCTCTAAATAGATTCTTCTTTCTTCTTTCCACAAAAGGTGTTATACCAGTTGTTCTTAGGTCCATTGCAGTTTATACATTCAGAATGAAACATACTACACCAAGCAGTTGATAGACATGTGTCTCTCTGACAATTTGGACAGTAATATCTATATGTTACATTAGACAAAGAGAGGGGAAAATGCTTATTACAATGCAGTTGGTTATACAAAGATAAAAAAGTAAGCTTGTTAAGGAGAATATTTATCAATAGTTACAGGAGATAAAAAGGAATTTGTCTTTGTTAGTATAGTTAGTTGTAGTAAATCAAAGGGGACCAAAAATCACTTGTGAGACAAGATAAAGGAAAGCAGATGTTCTTGGGCTATTGAATTTTTTTTTTTTTACAACTATCTTCTGTGGTAATTTGGGGAGGAAAGGAAAACCAGATATTATAAGCTGGTCACAAAGTTCATGCATAGGACATATATAGCAGAAGACGTGAATACAGAACAAAATGGAACAGTTATGTCAAGTCTTAACAGACTACTCTTAGATCTTAAAAAAAATGACTTTTAACAAAGGGAAAGAAAATAAGTTAACAGTCATAATCAATTTTTACCAGTGTTTAAAAACATACCTTCTGACGTCACAGACATTCTACTTTCTTTTGAGGAATTTAAATTTAATTTCTTCAGTTTCCTGCAGTTACAAAGCTGTAATAATGCAATATCTGAAATATCACAGCTTCGGAGGTCTAGACACTCTACTTCAGGGTGCAAAATCTATTTTAAAAAAATACATAATTTTTCATTAAACCAGGTATTGTTTATAAATTTATAAACTCAAATTTGAAGATATTTCCCTCAGTTTCATGCAAAAATTATATATAGATATATAATTTTAAAAGAATTACAAAAAACTGTTATTTCTTTGCTCTCTAATTTTGCTAATAAATGTAATATACGGTTTCTTGTGTAATTTCATTTGTAACATCTTTCTATAAAAGAAATTGAGTTGCAAGGGACCATAAAAAATTATGCTGTATAATCCCTCAACACATATCTTCACATAGGTGAAATCATGTTCAAATTAACATCAATTTGAAGATAAAAATTTGAAGGTAAAAAGTCACAAAAAGAAATACTAACAGAATGAATGAAGATTTGGAAGAGGGATGTTTTGAAATCTTTTGCTTTGTGGTATAGGAGTTAAATGAAAGATACCCTTTCATAGCAAAAAGTGTTTGGCTTGAATCCCAACTGACACTAGATAAGAGCACAGTTCCTTAATCTTTCTGACCTTGTTTCCTCATCTGTGAAATAGTAATGATACCTGTTAGTAACTCACAAAATGGCTGAGCAGTTCAAATAGGCATATAAAGCATTTCTGCAAACCTTAAAGTGCTACGTAATTGCTAGCTGTTATTGTTGTAGATGTAAAAGCTTTGGCCAAAGTGATATCTTTTTCTCCTTCCCACCCACCCAGGCTACCTTCTCAGTTATTGACTAGGCATAAGCAACGGTATTACGGGGAAAGAAATCAAGCAATCCAGGATAATCACCCCAATTCTAACAACTCCACAGAAATCATATTTAATATTAACTTCTAAGCCTATTCTACACTTTTTCCATCACCTCTAGCTCCTCCTCACTGTTACAATGGACTCTGTTCCTGGGTCATTCCAATCTAATAGGTGAGCTTTTGCCTTATCTTGCTATTTACCAGGCCTTCATACAAATTCCGGGATTGCCCTGAACTATACCACGGCACTGTAGGGTACTCTTCCCCTTCCCCTTCTTCCAACTCACTTTTATGTGTTGTTTTCCTTCATTAGAGCATAAGTTCCTTAGAGACAAGGATGGTCTTGATTTTGTACCCCCAATACATGGTTCTTGGCACACAGCAAGCAATTAATCAATACTTTATCTAACTACAAGGTAGGAAAACCAATGATTGGATTCTAGAAAGCAAACAGTCTACTACCATCAAAGCAATACAGACTGAAACATATAAGCTCCAAGATGGTAAGGTATAGAGAATGAATGGATAAGATTAGGAGTATCAGTGATGAAGTTATTTTTAAAGACTAACAAATTTACTCTTACATACTTACAGTTGTTACATACTTACAGCTGTAACAAAAATGCAACTCTCTTGGAAAAGACAGATGTGTCTAAATTTAATGGATCAATGCAATCTCTAAAGTTTACCCTGTGCTAATGTGATTCAGTCATTCAATAAGCATTTATAAAGTACTAATTATATGCTGGGCACAGTGCTAGGCAGTGGAAATTTAAAAAATTAAAGTCCTTGTCCTTAAGCAGCTTACTGGGGGTGGGGGGGGGGGGAAGGAAATCGGGATAAGTGATTTGCCCAGGGTCACACAGCTAGGAAGTGTCAAGTGTCTGAGGTCTGATTTGAACTCATGTCCTCCTGACTCCAGGGCTGGTGCTCTATCCACTGCGCCACCTAGCCACCCCAACAGCTTATATTCTTACTATACTTCTGCTACAGCAAAAACCAGAAAACCAAGGAAGCTATGAGTTTCTCCATATAATGCTTGGTTTTATTTAAAATTAGAGAAACATTGAATATTTATAACAGGTAAAACTCAGAAGGCATAAATATATAATTTTCTTATGATAACTCACACATAAAATATTTTAAGATTTCCAAGTACTTTCTTCACAGTGAAAGAATGATTGTCCCTATTTTACAAACTAGGAAACTGAGGTTCTGAGAGGTTAAAAGACTTATTCAGGATCACATGGCTAGTAAGTATCTAAGATGGGATTCAAACTCAGGTCTCCTGATTCTAAGCCCTGCTATTCCATCCTGCTTCTCCATCCAATAACAAACTATATTTTGGTTATTAAAGTTTCCATCTTTTTTATCCCTTAAGATTTAAGTGAGATGCCATATTTTCACTGTGAAGCTTCTGCTGATCCTCTGAAATGTTTGTGTTCTTCCTTTTGAATTACCCCTTGCATAAAGGGTGCATGTTACATCCTCCCCAGTAGAATGTTAAAGTCCTTGAGGGCAGGGATATTGCATTTTTGTCTTTGAATCTCCTGTGCATAGCCCAGTGCCCTGCACAGAACAGGAGCTTAATAAATATGTCTTCTACATAAAAAAGTCTGCCTCAACCTTTCCTAATTCTAGTACTTTCCTTCTCTCAATTATTTCTTATTTATTCTGTACATGTAGCTTGTTTGTATATATTTGTTTATTGTCTCGTCTGTTAGATTGTGACCTCCTTGAGGGCAGGGACTGTTTTTTGCCTCATTTTGTATCCTCAGCACTTAGCATAGTACCTGGCACATAGTAGGCACTTAATGAATGTTTTTTGATTGATTAAAATATTCGCTGAATCTATTCTCTTTCTTAAGAGTTAGCTTGGCTCTTTTTCAAGAAAAAAAAAAGCATGAGTTAGAATGTAAAAAAAATAAGTTCAGATACCATAAAAAGTACTGAATAGATACAAAGGATATTTCTATGTAGGAAACTGTATTTTTTTCAGTTTCTTAAACATAAAGAACAAGAATAGAAAGATTAATAAAACAGTTCACTGGGATAATACAGAAGTAAACACTGAGTTCCACAGATATTTCAGTGTAATTTTTATAAGAGAAAATATTTAAAACCTTTGACATTTTGAGGAGCATCTCTCCTTCCCCCACCCACTATAGGAGAGTTGTTTTGTTTCTTTATTTCTCATAAAAATCTTTATATTCTTGACCTTTTTGTGATATTTTTACTTTCACAGGCTTTTGACTCTTGTAGGCATAATTCTCAAAAATCTATGTGAGGCTGAAAAGAGGAAGTCACTGTTTCTATTCTATCAAGATTAATACTTAATTTCCCATGTCTTCTATGTCTCCTTCTGGAGAGACAAGTCATATTTTACACAGATTTAAAAGTAGAAAAGGGAGTAATTTCTGAAGTCAAGAATAAGGCAAGGCAAAAATATGTCTATATTATATATTTAAACACTGATACACTTTCAAGAACTATTAAAACAATAAGAACAGTAATTACAGAATCTGATTTCAGCAGGATTGAGTAAAATAGATTATTAAATGAATACAAAAACTGAGTGCATATTCATGCATATGCACTCAGGAAAAAAACTGTCTATAGTATCATCATAGAAAATGTAGTACTTAAATAAATTTTTAAAAAGAAAAGAAAATGTAATACTGCCAGTTTAGCATTTTAACATTACTGTACATCCACCAATCTGGTTTCTCCAAATAGGAGCAGCTCCCTTTCATCATATAAATTCTCCACTTGCTTTTCAGAACTCAAGTTCTGACCACTGGCACAGGAATTCACTAACACTTTCATTCTCTCAACATCTCTAATTCTCAAGTAGAGTATTTACTTAGAAAGAGTAGAAAGAATAGGTAGATGAAAGGTATAGAACACCTAAGTAGGAAAAGGAAAAGGTTCATAAGAATATGAGGTCTTGAAGGTGGTTAGTATTATTGTGAGGAAGAGAGAGTGGGGTAGAAAAGCTTGGCACTGGTTTAGAAGCAGTGGAGTCTAATGAACTTGATGAGGTAAAGGAGATAACTAAGAAGTCAAGGAAGCAATTGGGAGAAATGTAGGAGTAGCTGGCAAACATAAATATTTTGCTGAGCTGAGGGAAAAATTGATGTTCTGGTACATTTTTTAAAGTTATTATTCCTAGAATAAATTAATTAAATCTAATATATAATTAGCATAATTTTGAACAGTTTATGTATTCTTACCTCACTAATATTGGAATCTGTTATTCGCCCTTGAAAACTCATTATTTTAATCATCTTATCTTTTATATTAGGAGGCAAAAGTTTAATGTCTGTGACATATCTGGAAATATTCTTCATCAAGCACCAAAGGCATCTGAAATATAAACAGTAGGACAAAACAAATTGTATTATGGTTTCCACTTCTATTCCAATGTTGTTTAATAGTACATGCTCCTTCCATATAGTATATATACATATTTTGTACTGATCTTTATGTTTTCATCTGAACATGTTTCTACCTTATTAAATAACAACTATTCATCCCTATACTACATTGTTGTTGTTCAGTCATTTCAGTCATGTCTGATTCTTTGTGAGGTCACTTGGGATTTTCTTGGCAAAGATACTGGAGTGTTTGCAATTTCCTTCTCCAACTCATTTTACAGATAAGAAACTGAGGCAAACAGAGTTAAGTGACTTGCCCAACTAGTAAGTTGAGGATGGAATTTGAACTCATGAAGAGCAGTCTTCCTGATTCCAAGCCTAGTATTCTATCTACCACATCACCTAGCTGCCCATGCATACTCTTTCTCCAAATCCATATTTTCCAGTATTCAAGTTTACTACACAGTAAGCACTTAATAAATGCTTATTGATTGGCTTACTGACTACTGCAATATATTTCTTCAGTCAAGTTTCCTTCAACTCCTCAGGGGCCTAAAAATCTTAGTTATGAAATGGTTATTCTCTTAAAGGTCCCATTTAATCATCCCTTCTTTAAGTTTTTAAGATATATGTCATTTCCAGTATTTCCTTTCATTTATTTATACACCAAAAATGATACAGAAAGGAACTTCGGCCAAAAAAATTATTCAAATAGTATAATCTAAATGATGAATAGGGCAGCTAGGTATTGCAGTGGATTGAGCACTGGGCCTGGAGTCTGGAAGACTCATGTTTCTGAGTTCAAATCTGGCCTCAGACACTTAGTAGCTATGTGACCAAGACAAGTCACTTAACTCTGTTTGCCTAAGTTTCCTCATCTGTAAAATGAGCTGGAGAAGGAAATGGCAAACTATTAAAGTATCTTTGCCAAGAAAACCCCAAATGGGGTCATGAAGAGAGGGATATGCAACAAAATGGTGAATAAGTTTGGGGTTAGCTTTATAAATAGGTAAGGTGTGAAATGATCTGAAATGATCTCCATAATGGATTTTGATGACACCAAAATGTAATGTAGTAGAAAGAGTACCAGATTTGTAATCTAGCTTTAAATCTTATCTCTACTACTTAAAACCTCTACTAAAACCCTCCTTTTACTCTCCTCTAAACCATCTGCAGTCTGGCTTCTAACATTATTCATCTGAAATTACTCTCCAAAGTTGCTAATAATCCCTTAATTGCCAAATGTAATAGCCTTTTCTCAACGGTCATCCTTGACCTTTCTACAGCATTTGATGGTTGACTATAATTTCCTCCTGGATTCTCTTCCCTCTGTTTTTTTGTGACAGTTTTCTCTTTGTTCTTTTGTCTGAGTACTTATTCTCAGTCTTCTTTGTGGGTTCATCACCCATATCATACTAACATACGACACTATACTCAATCTCTTGGTGACCTTATCGGCTCACATAGATTTAATTATCTACTCAATCAATCCATCAGGAAACATTTATTAAAAGCATACCATGTGCCAGGCACTGTGCTAATTGCTGGGGATACAAAAAGAGGCAAAAAATGATCCTTGCCCTCAAGAAGTTTACAGTGGAAGAGACAGCATGCATGCAAACAAATATATACATAGCAAGCTATTTACAGGGTAAATAGGAAATAATTAAGAGAAGGAAGGCATTAAAATTAAGAGGGGTTGGGGAAGGCTTCCTGTAAAAGAGGATTTTAGTCGGAACTTAAAGGAAACCCGCGAGACCAGTAAATGGAGCAAAGGAAAGAGAGTATTCCAGGCGTGAGGGACAGCCAGAGAAAATGGCTAGTGCCAAGAGATGGAGCGTCTTGTTCTCAGAATCACCAGAAGTCCAGTGTCAGTAGATCAAAGAGTATGTGTCTGGGAGTAAGGTATAGGAAGACTAAGAAGGTAGGAGGGGGCTAGATAATGCAGGGCTTTGGATGCCAAAGAGGGTATTTCATATTCGATCCTGGAGATAATAGAGAACCACTGGAGTTTTTTGAGTTGGGGTAGGGGTGACAAGATCAGGCCTGCACTTTAGGAAGACAATCTTAGTGGCTATATGGATGGGTTGGAGTGGAGAGAGACTTGAGGCAAGTAGACCCACCAAGCAGGCTGTTAGAATATTCCATAAAGCAGGTAATGAGAGCCTACACTAAAATATGGCAGTGTTAGAGAAGGGAAGGGATTATATTTGAAATATGTTACCAGGATAAAATTGGCAGGCCTTAGCAACGGATTAGAAATCATAGGTTGGGATCTCTAAGGTTCCTTAGCTTTAAATCCTATGATCTCTCATAGGGGTCTGCAATATTCCAATAGATCTATGAATTTATCAATATGGATATTCCCTCTAGTAATGTAGATCACAATCTATCCTAAATGACTTTCATGAATGTCTTTCCATAAATTCACAAGTGTCTGAAATTCCTAACATGAGTAGAATTTTTCAAGGACATTTTAATTGGGATAAACAGTATTCTGACAAGCAGTGTGGCCTAGGGGATAGACCATTGTCATCAGAGTCAGGAAGACCTGAGTTTAGGTCCCATCTCTAATACATACTGGCTGTGCGATACATACTGGCTGTGCGACCCTGGAGAAGTTAAGCATAGGGCAGGCAAGCGAGTCTAACTGAGGCTGTAGGGTACCCTGAGGGAAAGAGAGGGGACAGCAGTGCCAGGCTATTAAAACCACCACTACCACACCTTGGCCAACATCTCCCATCAGACCTTGATGGAGACAGCCCAGGAGCCTCGAGAATAGCAGTGCTCCATCAAACCACCAAACCCACTTCCCACCCAGCCCCTATAGCCATTGTTAAGAGGACAGATCTTCGGGTGGGGGGCCTTCCTCATCACTACCTCATCTACCATAAACTGCTGAGGAACTGCTACCAAAAGGGAGATAAGCACAGGAGTCTTGGGAGTGGTAGCACCACAAAAAACAGTCCTGCTCACAGCAGTCATCTAGGAAAGCAACTACTACAGAGAAGGGGATAGCCATCCACACCAACTGTCAACGATCCAACACCCACAGCACAGACAAGTCATCCTGGCTAAAGTAACGAGGGTCCTTGGGAGACAGAAGGCAGCATACACCTGACAAATCAAATCATCATTACTACCTTAACTGCTATTTTCCCTTGGATCCTGATGAAGACATCCCAGGATCCTAAACACAAGAGCCTTGCCAAAAGCACTGCTTCCAGCACAATTCCAATAGCCATTATACTGGGAAGCAACCCTGGTGGAGATACATCCTAGCAACTGCTCCTTCAGGTGTTACGGCCATAGCTACTGAAGACCTAGAAAGGAAAGATCTTACCAACAAAATCTTTGGCACTAATTCAGTTAAACAATATTGTTGAACAATAGTTTAACATCAGAAACTGATAAGATTTTATGAGTGGAAATTACTTTAAAGAAGAAGTATTAACATTTGCTACTGTTCCACCCTGCAAATAATGGGACTTCTTCATCTGACCTGCAGCTGGAACCTTTCATGTGTAGTTTCCGCCATTAGAATGTGAGCTCTTTATGTCCAAAGGGCTACAAAATTGTGCATACCCTTTGACCCAGCAATACGACTTCTGGGTCTATATCCCAAAGAGACTATACAAATGGGAAAAGGATTCACATGTACAAAAATATTTATAGCAGCTCTTTTTGTGGTGGCAAAGAATTGGAAATTGAGAGGATGCCCAACAGTTGGGGAATGGCTGAACAAGTTGTGGTATATGAACGTAATAGAATACTACTGTGAATACTATACTATATTGAGAATACTATATAGAAATTATGAGCAGGCAGACTTCATAAAAACCTGGAAAGACTTACGTGAACTGATGCTGAGTGAAGTGAGCAGAACCAGGAAATATTGTACATAGTAACAGCCACAATGTGCAATGACTAACTTTGGTAGACTCATCTCTTCTTATTAATGCAAGGATCTAAGACAATTCCAAAGGAATCATGATGGAAAATGCTGTCCACATTCAGAGAAAGAACTACGGAGTCTGAATGCAGATTGAAGCATAATATTTGCTCTCTCTTTTTTCTTTCTTTGTTTCTTCTTTCTCGTGGTTTCACCCATTGGTTCTAATTCTTCTTTACAACATGACTAATGTAAATATAGGTTCAATATGAATGTATATGTAGAGCTTATATCAAATTGCATGTCATCTTGGCGTGGGGGGAGAGGAGAGATGGGGAGAAAATTTGGAACTCAAAATCTTATGGAAGTGAATGTTGAAAACTAAAAATAAATAAATAATTTTTTAAGAAAAGAGTGTGAGGGGCAGTTAGGTGGCACAGTGGATAGAACACTGGCCCTGAAGTCAGGAGGACCTGAGTTCAAATTCAGTCTCATACCAGACAATTTACACTTACTAGCTGTGTGACCCTGGGCAAGTCATTCAACCTCAATTGCTTCGCAAAAAAAAAAGAAAAGAAAAGAAAAAGAAAAAGAAAAAAAAAAGAATGTGAGTTTTTAACTGATCCAACTATTCTGGAGAGAAATTCAGAACTATGCTTAAAGGGCTATAAAAGTTTGACCCAGCAATACTACTACGAGGTCTGTACCCCAAAGAGATTGAAGAAAAAGGACCTTTATGTACAAAAATGTTTATAGCAGCTCTTTTCATGGTGACAAAGAATTCAAAATTAAAGAGATGTGCATCAATTGGAGAACAGCTGAACAAGTTGTGATATATGATTGTGATGGGAATAGTACTATGGTATAAGAAATGATGAGCAGGATGCTTTCAAAAACACCTGGAAATATAGGGACTGGTCTCAGGCCATGGAAGAGCTCAAAAAGAATTTTGAAAATCAAGTAAGAGAGGTAAAGAAGAGAAACAAGAGTAATGCAAGAAAATCATGAAAAGAGAGTCAATAACTTGGTAAAGGAAGCACCAAAAAAATAATGAAGAAAATAATACCTTTAAAATAGAGCAGGTCAAATGGTAAAAG